ATTTTGAATTCGGAAAGTATTTTAAAAGAAAAATTAGAAACATAAGGTTAAAATGCAAAAACAAAAAGTTCAGTCACGTAGGACAGCCCAGTTAGCAATCTCGGCAAAACGGAGCACGCCACGTGGCAACTCTGCTGACATCGGCACCACGCGAGAAGCCACATGAGCGATCTGCATGCTCATTGATCCAACGACCTAAATCTCATCATGTGCGCGTGAACAGTCTAGATGTGTTCCCTTTTTATACGCTATAGGAAGGATAAAATGGATCATGATGGACGTCTCAGATTCGTCCACGCCATCAGTCTAAACGAAAAACCATCGATCGATCCTTCTCGCTCCACATTAACGCAAATGGACGGCTCGGATCGAAGAGGATAGGGTATTTAAACTCTTCTTTATAGGAGAACCCAACCCTAGTCATCAGCACCCCATCGGAGAAGAAGAACCAGACGTCGGAGAAGAAGATCGGCCCCTAGCACTGCCATGCTAGAGCCACTACTGACCGTCAAAAAAGGTAAAATTTTCTCTTTTTGGCTCGGAATTCAATTTCAAGTCTCTCTGTGGGCATATCGGAACAAAAATGATAATAGGTGAACCAAAAACCGCAGGCAAAGTCCGGCAAAGCCACTGTATTTAAAATCCTAAAATCCCTTTGATGAGCCCCTTACTCGTTTCCCATTTCACATGATTCTTTGACCATTGTGTTCATCATCCTTTCCTGTGCAGGTTAGTCGAAGAAGAAATCCCAGCCGTGAAGAAGAACCAGCAGAGCCGTCGCACCCGAAGATCCCCTTCCCCCGTCAATAGGTTCGATTTTTTAGTTTTTTGGTCGGATACATGTAAAATCGCCAAAATCGGTCAAAACTAGCCAGACCGAGATGAACCGCTATCGTGGGCGGCAGAGTCGGTGCTGGAACACGGCAGTGTTGCCGTGTCGGAACCCTAAAATTTGACAAAAATAATTTTCGACAATAATTTTGGATTTTGAGATATTTTTGGGTACGTTACAAATATTTTAATTTCTGCATAAAAAATTCAAGAAATTCGGCCCCTGTTAGGAGGCATAATGAGTAGTACAATATTTCAAAATATTGATTCGGGTAAGGATTTCTCACTCTATTCTCTATTATTGGTAAATTGAGAATTAATAATCGATAATTTTATATTTTATAAAAATTTAAAGAACTCTAAAAATAATTACAAGTCGCTACTGGAACCGTAACTGGTTAGTTCATATTTGTCTTAATTCTTTATTTATTTTTCTGTACTACTTAAATTGCTTACTATTATAGTGTGCGTATTAAATTGATAGTTTTGACGGTCTTCTCAATTATTTGATTTATTTAGTTCGTCCTGCATTATTTATTTAGTTATCTGGTTACGTAGCTATTCGGTTATGTTAAACTATATCGCTCGCATAGATGTTATTTAAATTAATATGTGAATATGTAATGAGATGTTGGTATGCGTTTGGCGATTATTTGGACGATGATGATCTATATAAATGAAAGCTTACTGTATATCCCGGGAAAGGGAGGACAGATATGATATATAAGGAACTTTACTGTGGACATTATTTCAGTCGAACGGAGTTGAGAAGTTCCATATCGAAGGATTTTGGGAGATATAGTTCACCCTCATATCGAACAGGATATCGAGACAATGATATTTTTGGCACCCATTACTGGACAGAGTATGGAAACGACCGTGTTAATTGTCAAATCTAGATACTGAATTCACAAGTAGAGAGATATCCTATGAACCCCCAAAAGTCCCAGTAAGTAGGTTAAAATGAAGAATTATTGATCTTATTCACGGAATTAAATTGTCACTTGGTTATTTATCTTTATAGGTTGTTTTTGAAAAAATCTGTAATGGTAAGTATGGAATAAAACGTTTTAGAGTTAAATATATTTACTTAAATCAATAGTTCCATTAGTTATTTTGTGGTTTTTATCAACCTTCGATTTTTTGTATTAGTAATTAGTGCTATATTCTTATTAGATTAGTGCAGCTTACCATTTTATTAACTATTTTAAATCAAGAAGATCAAGATTCAGATACCGATCAGCAAACGGATTGTGAGTAGTTCACCTCCCGGACTCCCTTCAAGTGTTAACGGAGGTTAACCCATAGTATATTTATTTATTTATTTTTAATTATCGTTTGTCTTTTTTTAATGAACCAATTAGAATGGAGATTCTCTTATTCTTATTGGACATTCCAATTTAATGTATAAGAAATATAAATTCTAATTTTATTATTTGCTTCTACATTTAGATAATAAACCATTTTCTTTTAGTTTCGAATTTTTACAATGAGTACTTCTTATATGATATGTATTTATATTTTTAAAAAATAAAATTTCATTATTCATAAAAAAAATTGGTTGATTTTATGTTTTATGAATTATATAAATTTATTTTTATACAAATGATTGAATTGAATTTTTGAATTAGAACTAAGATGTAACTCAAGAAATTAGACTTTTTTTGTCAAAAAATTATGTCAATTTAATGCCTCCCAAATTTCCTCATCTCTTCTTGTTAGTCCGGCCATAGCTTCTCTCTAGAAATAAGTATACTCCATGTTGATCACATTTTTTTAAATAAATCTTTTTGTTTTTTATTACTAAAGTGTAAGATATATTTTTAAAATTTTTGATAACTAATGTAATACTCACATCATTAATTAATAACTAATGATAAAATAATAACTAATAATACATAAAAATATTTTATAGTTCATATATATTTGTCTATATGTAGAGAAAAAAGTTGCATATATGTGAAAAGATAAAAATAAACAAATAATATTTTTTGAGAAAATTCTAAAAATAACTTTTTACAATTTTTAATTTCGTATCATTACCATTCTTATTGCTAAATAATTTATATAGTTTTATCGATAAGAATTTATAAACTTAGAAAATAGATAATATAAAAACGTTTTCATGCACTAATCCAAATTCTTTCAGTTTAAGAATTTAAAAGTTAGGGACTAATTATACTTTTAAAATTAAATAAAAGAAAACAATTTTTTTTTTTTTTTATTTATAATCTTTTGGGGTAAAAGAAGTGAGTTCACGCGCATATCTTGAGGGTGGTGAAGTCAAATTTTTTGAAGGGTAAAAATGTACTATCACAATTTTACGGTATTATGATGAAATTTAAAAGGAAAGAAAAAAGAAAAAAAGGGATAGCTGCTTTGCTTTTAGGTCTCTCTTCTGCCGGCGGCGCCTTCTTACATAACCACCAGAGCCGCTACTATCTTTGGCATCTGCCTTCGACTCTCTGTTCGTAGTCCGATTACTTAATACTTCTCTCCAATGGCGGTCTGTTTTAGGTACCTCCTTCTCTCTGCGTATCCCCATGTGCATGTATATCTTTGGATTTTTCATTTTCTTTTCTGATTTGAAACAAATGTATGAAGACCCTAACTCCATGGCGCGTTTCGTCTATTGGTTTAGTTCTATTACTCTTTCGCTTTGTTGGTGTATATTTTTCTTCATAGTTTCGGGTGTTGCGCCTCTCATTTGGAATCATCGTGGTTGTGTGCATATATAAACATCTTCTGTATGTATAGGTAATCGATTTTGAGAAGGTAAAAGTAGTTTTTTTTTGTTGATTTTTGATTCATTTGGTAGTGAGAAGAGGTTCTGGGTTAGCCACAGTAATGTTATCGAATTTCGCGTTACGGAAAATGTTTTCTTCTTTGTGCCTTTTGGATTGTTTGGGTCAAACGGGTTTCGTATTAAATTGAGTTCGAAATTGAGGAAATAGGAGGAAGTCTAACAAGGGTTGCTTGCATTTCTTTTATTG